CTCTATCTATCTATCTATCTATCTATCTATCTATCTATCTATCTATCTATCTATCTCTCCTCCTCCCCTCGTCAGTCAGTCTGTCTGTTTGTATGTCTGACTTAGCTGAAGGCATCTTTAATCAACAATCTGATGAAACTGACGGTGAACGATAGTTAATATGTCTCTTTTCACAACTCCATATTACTACCATGCTTGCGTAATTACACGTTTTGACAAATTAATCAAACAAGATTCAACTCGACATAATACGCGATCGCTTAGGTGATATTCCTGGATTCTATTTAGCGAATATAGTCAAACTCGAAATTAAATTCGAATATCTTGGAATAACAATATTGATACATTATTTTAATTTAAACGACTAAATATTCTTAAATAATAAAATTCATTGGTTTATTGTTGTATACATTTATATATTACTATTTTGTCAAGAATTTGATGTTCATATTTACAATTACGCAAAAATTAAAAATTTAATTGGTTATTCACTAATTTTAATAAAATAGACATTACTAATATAATAAATATTAATAAAAATTAACTAAAATATTATTGTATTAATTGTGAAATTCATAATATTACAACTTTTCTAATTTCTATTCTATAGTAATTTTATAGCTTTTTTCTTGTTCATTTCGAATTTGCATGAAATCATTTAATTCAGCATTCTTAAATTCAGCTTTATATTTTTATTAGTTGTACAGGCTTCCCTATAAAAATTTTTGTTAAAAATTATTTGAACAATATATGTATATTGTTCTTTATTTTTATAGAGAGAAAATGTATTAGGTGTAAGAGAAAGTTCTTTCTTTTTTTTTAATTCAATCTTTATTTGAATAACATAGAAAAAAAACTCCATTCTATCTGTGTCGCAAGTGTGTTCTTTTTGAGTTTGCGCTATGTTTTATTCAATAATGACTGCAGTTCGTCCGATCCAAACTTCACAGTTTGTCCAGAACGTGGTTAATCTTATTTTAAATCAAAATTTCGGCGCGAAATTTTTTCTACATGTGTGACTTACAGTATTATCACCGTATTCAATATAAATAATTTTGGCAGCTTCGGCAACATTTTTCTACATAAAATGCTAAGTGTATGGAATATTGAATATTCTCTTTAGTTATTGTTATTATTATAAACAATTTAATAACAGTATTGATTTTTGATATTATGGCTGCTCCCACCATGGCTTTTTGTACTATTAATATTAACTTTAAAATCGCAAAAAGGCGCGAAAATATTTCAATTTAAAATGATACTCTGATCGATGCAAAACTTAAAGCAAAGAACTTTCTACTGTCATCTAATATAATTAATATATCTAATATAATATCTATCACATCTAATATAATATATGTACAATACATACACATATATATAATTGTATGTTAAGTATTTAATTTGTACAAAAATGCACATAAGCTATTAAAACTATTTATATGTAAGAATATTTATATATACACATTAGATATATATTTGGGTAATAAATTGAATAAAATGTTGACACTATTACTATGTTTACAAATATTACATTTATTTATTTATTCGTATTTCATTGATATAATTAATTATTTATAATGTAGCAGACATATTGAAGCACGGTTGCATACTTTCTTAATTTGTCTTCTTAATTAATTGTTTGTTACGGCGTGATGAATAAATGGTAAACATGCCCGCCTAAAAAAAGAAAAGAAATATATCAAATAATTAATCCTAGTAGCATAACATTGGCAAAATTATTGGCGCAATATTGGACCAATCTATTCCCAATATAAATACATTGGAAATACATTGGTCCAATATTGCGCCAATAAATTTGCCAATATTGTGCTATTAGGAAAATTTTAGTTAAGACAAAGCAATATTTTACATCAATGTGAAATCAAAGAAATTTTGATATTGAACTTACCAAAAGAGCTTATCCCACCTGGCCTAATATAAGAGATGAAAGAGGTATTAAGGCATATCAGGTTCTGCTGAAGCTTCAGCTGTAGCTTTTGCGAAAGCTTCTGCAAAAGCTTCAGGTTCAGCTTCGGGCCAGGGACTAGCCCATGTCAGTGAGCCGCATAGGCCTATAACAATCCCTG